AAGAAGGAGTAGGAGGAGTAGAGGGAGGGCAGAGGGAAGAGGAGGTTGGAAAGGGATGTGGGAAGAGTAAGAGGAGGATGGTTCGAGAGTACGGTGAGAGGTGCAGAGAGGAATGTGTGCGAGAAAAGGAAGGAGATGCGTGTTACGAAACCGTGGTACGCGTGAGCGCTATGAACAAGAGGGAAAGAGATAAAAAGAGGGACAGAGGGAAAGAGAGAGAGAGAGAGAGAGAGAGAGAGAAAAGAGGAGAGCTCGTTGGATGAGCGGCTCTCTTCGGCTGGCCGTTCGCTTCGTAGTCGTTCTCTGCCTTTTTTCATCCACCTTCGTCTATCCTTCTCTCTCACTCTTTCTTTCTTTGTCCTTTTATCTCACTCTTCTCTCTTCTCCACCTATCAGTCTGTCTCCCTTACTCTTTTACGCACACGCTCACGCACCACTGAACAGTTTCTGTTTCCTCCTCCACCACCTCCTCCTCCTCCACCTTCTACTCCTCCTCCTCCTCCTTCACCCACCCCTTCACCCCACTTCTTCTTCTCTTCACTCTCCTTTCTCTCTCCCCCTGGCCCCTCTTACCCTCCCCCTTGTCTCGGTATTTGCTTCAAGCTAAAATAAAAATGAGAGAAGGTACACGAGAGAGTGAGAGAGAGGGAGAGAGGGAGAGACATCTCGCCCGCGCTCAAACGCGTCTCCTTGCGATTTACGCACGTCCGAAGAGTTGGACTTTTAAAAAACTCTTTCTTTCCTTCCTACTTTCTTACTTTATATCCCCCCCCATCTATCAACGATTATTCTTTTTCTAACTTCGTTTAGATTCATATCAATTTTTTGTTTGCTTAAGATTGAACGTCGAGAATGCAGGTAATCGACCGAGTAACCGAATTTCAAATAATCGGGGTCAATTTCAGTGGTTACGCGGTGTTATATTTTGTTTTGCTTTTTTTTTTCTTTTTTTTTTTTAATATTATCTCTTAGAAATGTAAATTTAATCTCACTTTTCTCTTTATTTTCTATTATATTTAGTATTTATTCGTTTGTTCAAGGAAATAAGTAATAGAAAAAAAAAAACAGAAAAAAAAGAAAAAAGAAAAATTAAGAGTGAATGAAAGAGATAAATAGATGATAAACGCGTTTCTATTTTATAATCTTAACATTTTATTACATTTCCTTATTTCTATCTCATTTTTTATCATTATAGTTTTGAGTGTGATGATCCATCATTCAAAAGATGATAGAGAAAAATAAATAAATAAATAAAATGAATAAATAAATATAAAATGAAGAGGGAAGAATAAATGATACATTGGAAACTGGTTATTTTTTTTGACATCCTATCTTTCTATTTTCTTTTGTTTTTTTCTGTTTTTTTTTTGGAAATATAATTTGTCATTTAAGAGAGAGAGAGAGAGAGAGAGAGAGAGACAACGAATAAATAAAAATTAAAAATAGGAAGAAAATAATGAAAGTCAAAACGCATAGAAAGGCCAAACACAATTCAGGCGTTTTATTCGACGGATGCAGACGGTGGGGGTCACGGTCATGTTAGAACGATATTAATCACATTCGCGAAATATATATATATATATATGCATAACACACATTTGGCATATATGTCGCGTAATATAATCGTAATATTCCCATAGATAACACATACTCCTCGCATTTTCGAATCATTATTCCTATGCTAAAGCATGCTTACCAATAATGAAGATCTAATGGTTCAGAAACTGGTTTTTTTTTTTTTTGACCATAATAAACCCCAGGACACCAAAACTTCTTTTCAAAGAAAAGAAGAACGAATTGAATGAACAACCTGAAGAATTTCCTTCGTCCATTTAAGATTGAGGAAGGTCATGGGAATTCCAAAGGATATCATCTCGATTCTAACGCCTTCTCCGAGTTTGATTCCATCGACTTACTTCCCCTCTCTTATTTTTCTTTTTTTCTTCTTCTTCTTCTTCTTTTTCTTCTTCTTTTTAGAATAAAAGTCAGAGACCCCGAAAATTTTTATTTAGAATTGAAATTAAACGATTAATATTTTTCATATTAAGAAGTATAATCGAATATAAAATATAAATATATCATATTTATTTTGTATAAAATAGAAAATAACTAGTGTGAAATGAATAAAATAAACGAGAATAGTCGAATAGTATATATATTATAATAATTTCGATTGTTCCTTTCAAAGTATTAAAATAACAACATAATAATTACTTTCCCTCATTCGATTAATCACACACACACAAATTTGATTACAAATAAAATTCTTTTATCATGTTGATTATTTTTCTTTAGCCCCTCCCCACACCCCCGCCGAGGTATTTTAAATTCGCTATAATAACACAAAATTAAGATATTAAATAATCAAGGGGTAATATATAATCGTGTCTTCATTATCTTTTCTTTTTTTTCTTGTCTTTTTCTTTTCACGAGTAGTACGATCGCAGGGGACAGAGAAAGAGAGATAACAAAATAAAAAAAAAAAAAAAACAATTAAATTTAGAAAATAACGTTTAGATTCGAATCGTACGACGACTTTTTTTCGTTTCGCAGAGAAAGAGAGATAAAAAAAAAAAAAAAAAAAAAAAAAAAAAGGAAGGGATGTGTTTTAAATGCCTTCTATAGACTCTGCGTTACATCGATCCTCTACCTCCTCCTACTCCTCATCATCTTTTCTTCTTTTTCCCTTCGTATAACCCTAAACGGTCTGGAATCGGTTGTATCGAGAAATACAGGTTCATCGACGACGACAACGACAACGACTATGAGTACGAGTGTGAGTTAGTTTATTCATGTATTCCAAAGTTATGGAATACATGAATAACTTGTTTGGGGGTTTCTCAGTCGACACTGCCTGAATATGGGAGAGTAGAAGAAAAGGTGAGAAGGATTGAGAGAAGAAGAGGAGATATGAAAGACACACGAAGAAAAAAGAAAGAAATAAAAAGAGAAAAAGAGAGAGAGGGGGGAGAAGAGACGAAGAAAGAAAGATGGAAAAAGAAAGAGAGGAAACGATCGCAGACTCCAGCGATCTTATTGATAAGCTCGATTTATCGTCTGAGGATTTATCTGCGACACGTGGCTCGCGCCTTGCCTGCATTCACGTTACTTCTCTACTCTAACTCTTCTTTTCTCTTTTCTTTCCATTTCTTTTCTTTTATTTTCTCTTCTTCTTCTTCTTCTTCTTCTTCTTCTTCCCTTTTATTATATGTATTTCTCTTTCTCTCTCTCTGTCCCCCTTTTTATCTCACTCAAACTCATCCTTTCCTTTATTCCGCGCCAAAAGACTTCTCCCCCTTCATATGCCACGTGCTTTTCGCGTTTACATATTTTTTTCCTACACCTAGCCTCCCTTCCTCCTCCTCCTCCTCCTACCTACCTTCCTTTCCATCCTTTTAACCCCTTTTTTATTTTGTTGATCCACGTTCTGTACGCGAATTGTACTACATACTACTACTACTACTACTACTACGTATATCCAACATTATTTCGTACCAAACTTGGAAAGAACTTTTTCTTCCTCTTTTTTTTTGTTTCTCCTTTACTCTTGTTGAGTTCGTCGCATAGCACAACGAATTTGTCGTCAGACATTTTTTCTCTCGCGATCCTCCCCGACACCATAACCTCTTTTTACTTCGTCATCGTACACAAACTTTCGTCCAAATCTTTCTTTTTTTTTTTTTTTCATTCTTAGACCGAGCTTAACTAAACTTTCTACCCAATTTTTTTTTTTTTTTCAAATTCTGGTTACACGCGCTTTTTCGATGTTACTTTCTTTTTTCTTTTCTTTTCTTTTTCCATAATCTTATGATTAGAAAAAAAAAAAAGAGAAAAGAATTGGCACAACTCTTCTAATCCGATAATAATATTTTTTCTTCGTTTATATATTATGTATAAAAAAGAAAAAAAAATACATTTGTTTCGTGTATGCAGTTTGAACGCATAATCATAATCCCTTTTTTTTACTTCATCGTATAAATTTGTCCGTTGTTGGAGCCAAAAGTTGTCGGATGATTTTAAACAATTCTGCTTACTTTTTTTTCCAAGGATTTACTTTTTTATAATAAAACCACAAAAAAGGATTAACTTAATCATTTTTTTTGTATCTTTTTATGTATGCAAATAATTACTAAAAAGAAAGAACGTATGAAACGCAATTATAATACGCGAATGGGTGTTATTTCTCGCAAGAAGTGTAAAATATAGATGGATGATTCCTAGAAGCTTGAACGCATGCAAATAACTTAGCACTTTTGCTCGAACAAAGGACGAATTAAAAGACGTAAATACATGTGTACAACGTTTTGCAAGTTCGTTTGCGCGCATGGATGACATAAACAAGAACGTGTCTCTGGAACAACATGGGATTGTGGTCGGTCGATTGATCGATACCACCGCACGTGTTTTTCTCTCATTGTTATTTAGTAATGAAATAAGCAGAATAATGAAGTATTTGTGTGTCTCGATAAATATCGAGAAAGATAGAAACAGAGAAAGAGAGAGGTAGGGAGAGAGAGAGAGAGAGAGAGAGAAACATTTGTTTCCCTTCGTCGCCACAGGGTCCCATTCGTTTCTTAAAGATAGAGACGATCTCGTCGCCGCCATGTTTCTTTCTTAAAAGTTCTCCAATACCACGTGACCGCGCTAGGTCACATGACATCATCGCAGAATTTTTAATCAGACTTTCGCGCGGAAATTCAACCGCATCCCTCTTGATAAATAGAAAGTAAAAGTAAAACAGATAAGATACAAACACACTTGCACGTATATGTATGTATATTATATAACGTTTAGATTAACTTCGAGAAAGTCATCGAAAGGATAATGATGTTTATCAGAAAGCAAGGAACAGAGTATTGTAATAAGAGTTGTCCTTGGACCCTCTAGCTTGTAGCGTGGATCTAGATAAGGTAGAGGGGGCAAGTGGGATGGCGTTAAAGAGAGGTGGTAGAGAGAACGGTTGGCAAGGGATTGAAAGAGGAAATAAGGGAGAAACTTACAGTTTATAATGTTGCATGTGGTGACTGAGATGCAAGTCGGCGGCATGCTGTTGGTGAATCTGCTGTTGCTGATGCACGGACTGATGGTGGTGTGTCTGCGGGGGATCCAAGGTAGAGGCACCCAGCAGGGTGGCGCTCTCCCTGAACAGCGTTGCCACCTGCATACTCGAAGAGATCTCTGACGCGGGGAAAACCGCGATGAGGATATTTCACCTCTTCACTCTTCACTCTTCCTCCTCCTCCTCCTCCTCCGCCTCCTCCGCCTCCTCCGCCTCCTCCGCCTTTCCTTCTTTTTCTTTCTCTTCTACTGCTGCTGCTGCTCTTCTATCTCTTTTTACTTCCTCAATAATGGTCCTTCTCCTTCGTGGACCTTCGTCCAGGTTAGTTTCGATGACCACCGACCGACGGACCGGATTTGTGCAAATCCCACCTCTACCTATTCTTCTTCCTTCTCCTTTTACTTGACGAATACAACTAGCACACTGTTGTATCTCTTCCTCTCCTTCTCGGTCGGTCGGTCTGTATTCTCTCCTATTCTTCCTTTAGCACCTCCCCCACTTTCTCGTTCTTCTTCTTCCACTAGGACTACTACACTACAACTACTGCTACAACTACTACAACTATTTCTCCTGGCGACGCTGCCACTGTCGCTACTCCACGAGACGACGATGCTCTTGGCGTTGCTCAGGCTAGTAACGATCGCTTCACCACCGCAACTACTACCACCACCGCCACCACCACTACTACTACAACTACTACTCTACTACTACTACTACTACTACTACTAGCAGCAGCAGCAGCAGCACCAATACTACTACTACTACTACTACTACTACTAGTAACACACGGCCGTCGCACACGAATACGACGGTGTACTCGTTCCGTCGCGGCGACGGGACCGACGGTGCGATCCGTTCGGTCGCCGTCGACGACGCGACGACTCTCTTATCCACGGATCCTTTATTCTTTAACTTATTCCTTCGATTCTTCTATTATATAGAACAATTATTTTCCCTCTATCTTTTATTATTACACTTATTACTATGGAGAGAGTTAGTATACTCTCGGGACGCACAAGAATAACGTTTCTTCTCACTTTAATAAAAAAGAGAAAGAACAAGTTCGTTGTCAGTGGCTCAATCAAGGCCCCTTGAGCTACTCGTCGTCGTTTTCGTCCTCGTCGTTCTCGTATTCGGATTTGTCCTTTCACCTTTCATCATCTTCGTCGTCGTCGTTGTCTTCATTATCATCCGCGGCTTCGAGAAACGACGACACAACAATCTCATAAGCGAGCTTAGAAAATACTGACCGGGTTAACTTTCGAGACACCCGGTATGTACACAACCTTTCCGTACTCTCTCTTTCTCTATCTTTCTCTCTCTCTCTCTTTCTCTCTCTCTTTTGCTCTTTCTCTCTCTCGTTCTTGTTCTCGTTCTCACTCACTCACATACAACACACACACACACACACACTCTTTCTTTACGTGGATGTATGTGTGCAGTTGACACTCGAGTACACGTCCGACGGAGCAACGAACGAGATTGGCACTCCACTTCTCCGTTCTTGAATTCTCTTCACTCTTCTTCTCTTTCCTTTTTTTATTTTTCTTCGTTTTAATCTTCAAATATTATGTATCCAACACGTATAATAGATGTATAACGGCGGAAAATAAAACTTACTTACACCAATGAGATAACAATTACGTTAAGATCGCACAACAGTGTGCCGCCGAATTTTCGTTCGAATTTTCCGCCAACGCCGAAAAACAACGAAACAACGATTCGCGAACGAATTTAATTGGACGGAGAAGCCTAAGGAGTAGTATAGGTAGAAATGAAAGAAAAAAGTTAATGACGACGACGACGATGTTAACAATGATGATGATGATGACGATGATGACGACGACGACGACGACAACGATGAGGAGGAGAGAAGTAAGCAAGTAATCCGAGGAAGCAACCGAGCGTGTGTCGTATGTATTCCTGGGCCGTCGGTGGTCGCCGTGTGACGTACCGGCGGCGCGATGCACCCACGCCCCGGACGGAGCGCTTCGTCAACGCTGCGATATCTCTTCGCACTGTTCCTGCCAACTCCAAAGATCTCCTTCCTGCTATTACTCCCTCTTTCTATCTATTTCTCTATCTTTCTTCTTTCTTCTTTCTTCTTTCTATATTTCTATCTGTAGTTTCTGTACATATATATATATATATATATATATATATATATATATATAGTATATATATATGTATATATATGTATGTATATATGTGTGTATATATATATATATGAATATATTTCTCACTTTACCTCTCTGTTTCTCCGTTCTCAAACAGTGCACGAATTCCAATTGAATAATTCGAATGAGTAGAAGTTTAGGAAAGGTTTATCAGGGATTCCGTAACGCTCCTCTGTCTTTATCACGTCGATCCTCATGCACACACGCGTTTCGATTTTTTCTACCCCTCTCTCACTCTCTCTCTCTCTCTCTCTCTCACACACACACACCTTCTCCCTTGTTCTTTCTCTTGTTCTCCTTCGTTCTTCCTTCCTTCCTTCCTTCCTTCCTTCCTTTCTTTCTTTCTCTCTATTTCTCTTGTTCTCACTCTCCACTGTTATACCCATCCACCTATTCTTTATTTCTCTGTCTTTTTCTCTCTTTCGGACCGCGTAAACACGCGCGAGCGCACATCTATTTCACTATTTCTTGTACAGCGGTAAAACCCACGACCGTCGCGTTTACAGGAGACGGCTCCGCACTGCCTGACCGTTCCGTTCGTTCGGCAGCACGAACCTCTATGTTCGCACGTTTCCGTCGGCGCTCGTTCACCTTCGCGCACGCTCGGCTTACAGAGCCTGCGGCGACGCCGGCTGTAGCCGCCGACGCTCTGCCCGGCGCTGCTCCTCCTCCCCCCTCTCTTAGACCACCTACCACCACTCTCTCTCTCTCTCTCTCTCTCTCTTACACTCACCCGTTCCCTCTTCACCGAGGAACACTCATCGTGTCTTTTTCTTTCTTTATTTGTCTCTCTCTTTTTCTCTCTGCACATCCTCTTTGTCTCTCTCTTTCTCTTTCTCTCTCTCTTTCGGTCTCCCACATATTCTCCATCTTTGTTCATCGCTGTAACCTCGTCTCTTTCGCACTTTCCCTCTCTCTCTCCATCTTTGTCTATCTATCTATCCATCCATCCATCCATCCATCCATCCACCCATCCATCCATCCATCTATCTATCTATCTATCTATCTATCTATCTATCTAACTATCTCTATCTCTATCTCGCTTACTTCGCAACGTAACTGAGGAACAGCAACGAGGTGGATCGATCGTCACCGATCGATGGTAAATCGAGGCACGCGCTCTTCGATCGATCGACCAATGACGACCGACCGTTGGACGGTTTCCTTCATCGCAGAAGACCACTAGAAAGGCGCCGCTTGTGGCGCGTTGCGATTCAGTTTCGCGGATATCACCTAAAGTATTATATTTTATATAATTTTTTTTTATTCTCACAGAAAGAAAGAACATTTATACTTTGTCTACCTAAATACGATCGTCCTTCCTTCCTTCTTTATTTCTCTCTTCGTCGTCGTCTTTGACTTATCTTACGAAAATACTTTAAGAAATGATATTAAACACCGCGACCAACCTCACTGATATGATTCTGCGTGAGAGAACGTTTACTACTTCTTCTTCTTCTTCTTCTTCTTCTTCTTCTTCTTCTTCTTCTTCTGCTTCTGCTTCTTTTTCTTTTCTTTCATCCTTCGCCGAGTGTCGTTCATAAACGTATTCTTTTTGCCCCAACGAAAAAGTAAAAAGGATATATATCTCTACAGAATTATTCTACGTTACTATAAAAATGTCATGTTTCTCGAAGGACAGCCTCCAACATCAGCATTGACTTCGAAATATCCTTTATGAACACGTTTTCGAGACTAATTCTTCATCTCTGTCCAGATTGAATAGACCTATGCAGATAAATAAATATTTACTCTATGCGATTTCAAATTTTCTACCATCGCATCATCGTTTCTTATATATTTATTTTCAGGGATTATGCGATCGTGATACTTTTAAAGAAAATAAAATAAGAATAGGTATAAGAGATGTTTTGTCTGTTTTGTTTTTTTTTAATTTGAAATTTTTATTTTGTTAATATGTATGTATCTCTGTTAAATTGTACATCGATTGAAGTAGGATTTTTGGAAGGAAACTCATTTATCCCGCTTGGGCACCACCATCGCGAGATTCTACGCCCCTGCGCGCGAGGGTTTCTTCGTATACTCTCTCTCTCTCTCTCTCTCTCTCTCTCTCTCTCTTCTTCAAATTTTCTATCTCTCTCGTAGTTCTCTCTTCTCTTCTCTCTTTCTCCATCCCTCAGCACACCCTCAATCCGCTTGCTCGAGCACGAGCGCATGGCAGGGTTGCACCGCGAACGACGAGAGGCGAATATGGCTCCCGTATGCGTGTTTGTCCGCCATCCTATACCTGTTTCTCTATGTATGCATATATATATATATATATATATATATGTGGTATGTACGGATGGATGTATAAATGTGTGAGTTTGTGCGCCTCAGCGAAAGGCAAGTAACTCTTGTACATAGGGAGGAAAAGCTTCGTGTGCGAGTACACGCGGTGACCCTGCGCTGTCGAATAGAGGTGGACGAGGAGGAAGTTCAGGGCCGCATCGCGGTTAGAAATATTGCACTTCTTTTTACCCGTTTGCCAACTGTGTTTCATCATTCCTCCTCCTCGTCATAGTCGTTGTCGTCGTCGTCGTCGTCGTCGTAGTTGTTCTACGAGTTTAAAAATTCACAGCGCGGGAAATGTGAATACCTGTTGTTACTACTCTCCATTAGATGTAATCAACGCTGACTATAAATGAAGAAATAATTGTTCATTCGATATTTTCATCTATCGTATCGCTCTTTCTTATTTCTTCTTTTTAAATTCTCGCCCATTTTTACGCTAATTCCCACGTTGATACGTAACACACACACACACACATGCAGTTAGATAATATTTTATTATACAAAAATAAATTTTTCGAACGAAATATTTGCCCCCTCCCCTCGTTTATTTGGCCAAAAAAATATCACAAAATTTTGTCTACAATCTTATAATTTCAAAATTTCAAGTTTAAATTTGTCGTCGTCGTCGTCGTTGTATGTGTGTGCTTAGAAAAATTTCTTCAAAATCTGAAATCATTCTTTAGTGCAATAAACATGCACCGGGGTACATAAGTATATACATATCTCATTATTCCGTACGGTTGACGCACTTTTTCTGCCGAGTTACTTCGCGTTAACGTTGCGACGAAAGAGTCGAATCTCTCGACGCGTTCCTGGCCTCAAATACTCTTTACAATGTGTGTATACGTAATACATATATACATGTATACTAGTGTTATATATATATATGTGTGTGTGTAGTGTGTTTGCTGGTGCGCGCGTATGAAACTGCGAGCGCATATTTACGAGCGTGTATGTAGAGTCAGGCCATGCACGAATAAAGAGGAAGGAGAGCGAAAGAGAGAGAGAGAAAGAGATGGGTATATGTATATACATTTATATACATATATATATATATATATATATATATATATATATATATATATATATATCTCTCCTCACTAGGTAGAACGATAGTGTCAGAGAGAGAGAGAGAGAGAGAGAGAGAGAAACAGAGAGAGACAGGTAACGAGAAAGAGCCGTAACTATAGAAAGCAGTGGCGGCGCTAGTGGAGCGAACCTTCAACATGAGAGAGAGAGAGAGAGAAAGAGAGAGAGAAGCAAACGTAGAAAGAAAAGAGAAGGATGCAATGGAGAAAGCTCCATGGAGAGAGAGAGAGAGAGAGAGAGAGAGAGAGAATGAGTGAAACAGAGATAGCAATATGCGTTGAAACCCCACATGACTCTCTCTCACTCTCTCTCTCTCTCTCTCTTTAGCTATCTCACTCTTCTGTGCAGCTTCGCGCACAACCCACTATGCCAGGCTCCCACCACGCAAACTTTCGGAAAAATCAATAGACTACAAGAAAAGCCTGTGCTGCGCCAGGCGAGTAGAGCCCTCCCCCCTTCCCCCCATCCTATCCTACTTTCTCTCTCTCTATCTTTCTCTTTCTCTCTCGCAACGTTCTCGTATATCTATCTATCCATCTCCTCTCTACTTAGTATTTCTCTCTCACTCTCTCTCTCTCTCTCTTTCTCTCTTTTTACCTATCTCCCACTCCTTTCTCTATATACCTCGTTTTACCAACGTGGATGAAGTAAAGGGGGTAGAGGTGGCACGCTAAGAGGAGGGGTGCAGGAGGAAAGGGATTTCAGCGAGGATAAGTGTGTTCGATAGCAAGTAGGTGTGTTCCGATAGAAGAAGGATAGAAAGAAGTACCGAGTAAGTTTGAGAGAGAAATAGAGAGAGAGAGAGAGAGAGAGCGTGGGCGAATGAGAGAACATTACGCGAAAAGGTGCCTGCGTTTCTCCATTTCTTTCTCTCTCCCTCTCACTTATGTATTATATATGTATAGTATATATGTATATATATAAAAAGAAAGAGAGAGATAAATAGAGAAACACATAGCAGCGCATGCACACTTATACTCAGAAATTCTCCCAGGCCACTCCTCTTTCCACCTGCTGCTCCCACAGTTTCGTTCCTAGCCTCTCGTAGAATTTCTTTCGATAAAAAGGGGAGAAAAGAGCGGGACAAGCTCCTATGTGTTTTGTATACGTAAATACGTATGTATTTATATTTATAAATGTATGTATGTATGTAAGTATGTATGTATGTAGTAAGTACCTAAACCCGATTTTTGTTCCTTTTCGTAGTTGCACGCGAAAACGAGTGGATCGTTTGCGTTCGGTAAAATCTTATGTTAGTAAGAATGAGGCCTTCTCTTCTGGATAGAAACCAATACTATATCGATGGAGAAGACCGTGAAGCGAAAGTGAACTGTATTTTCTCTCCTCTCTCTCCTCTCTCTCCTCTCTCTTTCTCTCTCTCGTACGCACACGCACAAGTACACATATATTTAAATATATATACGCAAGCGTACAAACAGTTATCGTCGTCTACTAGCGCATCGACAACGTCCTTGGCGGGATATTTAAAAAACTACTCTACTGCTAATTCGAATTTCGATGAAGAAATTCGAACTAGATTATATTCAATAAGATTTCTTTCCAGTTTTATTTTTGTATTAAATCAAATTGGTAGTTCGTTTTTTTTTTTAGTTTGGTGATAGTGAAATTAATTGAACGATAAATTGCATATTTATTTTGCGAGTTATCTTTCGCCGAGTTACAGAGTTTCGTACGATCAATGTTGCGTCGAACCACTTTATTCATGCGGTTTTAAAACACACGCGTATACATATACATATATATATATGTATGTGTATAACACACAAATCGTATATATATATATATGTACATATATATAATATATAGATTTCGATCTATTCGATTGAAGGAATATAACCGAGAGTGATATTGGTGAAATTTTAGGGAAAACTATTATCTTTGCCAGGTATATGTTAAAATTGTAGTGAATGTATATATATATAAACGTGGTGACCACCATACTACAGCAGATGATTCTACGGATGCGAAAATCAATACTTCGTACGTGAGATAAACGTTTTCTCTCTTATATCATTATAGTTTACTGACTAATATTCTGACAAAAAGATCCATCCGATCAAGATTTGTGTCGAGAACAAAATTCAAACGAGAGGAACGAAATATGTAAAAGAAAAAAAAAATAGAACGAACATTTAAAAAACTATTCGATCGAGATCGTCGATTTTTAACGAAAAGTTTTGTATAATTTTCACGCGATCGTACAATATAAAATTAAAAAATACAATTGTTCATTTCTATTCATCCCCTTCCTAATTTTCCTATTATACGCCTATGTCAGACGATCTTTCGTATCCTGAATCTTTTTTACCGACGGAGCATTTTGCATTAACGCAAATCAAAATTCGTTGCCTTTCTTGATCCCCTTTTTTCTTATCCTGGGGTTAATCGTGTACAATAGTAATCAGATGACGATGACGATGAGAACAATGATGAGAAATGATGAGAAATGATGATAATGATGATTATAATGACGAGGATTATGACGGTGATATCAGAATGAGAAGTTAAGCAATGAGAACGACACGACAGATCCAAACTGAATCGGAGCTTGGCTCGTACTAAGCGGTACCGCCTCAACTTCGCGGATTTCTACCCCTCTCTCTGATATCATGTTCTCTTTCTCACTCTCTCTCTCTCTCATTCTCGCTCACTCGTTCGCTCGGTCGGTGTGTCCCAGTATCCGAGCATCATTCTATCTCACTCAGTTTTCGTTTCTCTTTCTATGTCTCTCCTTTTCTCTCTGTCTCACTTTTAGCCACGTTCCCTTGACATTCTCCCTCGACGACGAGACACCCTCAAGAGAAGTTTCAATTTATACTGAAAGTTGCCGTGACCGAATGCGCAAATAGGTAGATCCGCTCTCGCATTTACGAGCTCATTCATACTGGCCCGATATCCCCCGCCGTGTGCTACGTATAAACACATTTACTCTCTCTCTCTCTCTAGATTTATCCATTTATCTCTCTCTCTAACTAAAATTTACCATAATCTTGGCTACAGGTGACCATGTTCTCTCTCTCTTTCTTTCTTTCTCTTTTATGGTATCGTATAAAAAAGTGCTTATGATTAACCATTTAATAAACGAAAAAGGACTCCCCCAAAACAAGGGTTAAAAAAAAATAAATATATTAGAAACCCTCAAAGGAGACTCGATAACGAAAATAATTTCTATACAGTAGAGTCATAATAAACGCGTGACTATTTTTTGCGAGTTTTTAAATGATCATTAAACGATTAACGGAATGAAATGTATTCGAAAAGGGCAATTCCCTTTGAAATGGTTATATCGTATTGGTGACATTACGAATGTAAAAAGGAAAAGGAAAAAGAGAGAGGAAGAGAGAAAGGGATAGGGGGAGAGAAAGAACGGGGAGAGCAATGTGTCGCGGTTGACGCCCTTTCTCTTTGCGAGTAGACAATAGAGAAGGATAGCGTCCCTTATAAATTATCATGGCGTATTACGCGTGACGTTGGAAGGACGATAGGGAATAGAAAGTGGGAAGAGAAGAAGAAGAAAGAGGGGAAAACAAGACGAAGGGAGGAGAGAGAAAGAAGTTTGGAATCGTTAGCGTCTCGTCCCTTCAGTCGTTTCCTTTACGTGACTAGCACTGGCGTGTCTGACAGAGGTTCGTTAGAAACACGAGATTTATCCCTTTCCTCTTCAAGGAGAGAGGAGAAAGAGAAAGGAAAGATCAGATATTGCAAGCTTGCCTTTTATTGGCTATTACGATGTCAGAGTCATTTTTTTCTTTGCACCAATCCTCCTGTTATCTTCTTTTTCATCTTAATCGATAAGTATCGATTTCTTACTTACCGACCGAATAATTACCGATCATGCATCATTTCACTTTCAACCGTTATTTATCTCTTATATCATTTACATATATATATCGTGTATAAATCATTCCCTTTAAAATACAAATTATAAGATTAATAATATCATCCTAAAAGAAAAAAAACAAGTATTTATTACTCTCAATCGACAGGTTAAATTATCGGAGAAGATTTTCAAAAGTTGTCGCGCGTAATGGCGAGAATATGCATACGTAGAGATCTATATACGTACTTACATATACATAAGTGGTCTCGTGCGCTCTCAGCTCTTTGGTAAATCTGTGAATACACCCCTGACACAGCGTCCCTCTACCGCTCAAAGAGGGTCGCGTATACTCTCTCCTCCTCCTCTTCCTCTTTCTCCTCTTCCCATATTTCCTCCATATGCGAGGGTGCAGGGGGTGGAGAGAGAAACGCGCGGAACGCTTTATGAATGAATGTTTCCGCGCCAAGTGCGAGAAGAGAGACGGATAGATAGGATAGGGTGGGTGTGTGAGCGAGTACGGATTATTAGAGAAAGAGAGAAAGAGAGAAAGAGAGAGAGAGAGAGAGAGAGAGAGAGAGAGAGAGAGAGAGAGAGAGAGAGAGAGAGAATGTTAAAAAGTGATACGGGATAGGAGAGAGAGAAAGAGAGAGAAGTAGCCGTGTGTCCCGCGTGTAAACACAATAATACCGACGNAGAGAGAGAGAGAGAGAGAGAGAGAGAGAGAGAGAGAGAGAGAGAGAGAGAGAGAGAGAGAGAGAGAGAGAGAAAGTAACCCGGGATAGGAGAGAGAGAAAGAGAGAGAAGTAGCCGTGTGTCCCGCGTGTAAACACAATAATACCGACGTTTCCATTCATCAGGTCGACCCCGGCGCGCGACCTCGAGAAATACCTTTGGTGGTACCACGTGCTCTACGAACTCTCTCTCCTCCTGTCCCCTTTAACCCCTTCCCCGTTCCGCTACTCCCAACCACCACCTCTACCTTCTCCTCTCTTACCCTATCTATCCTTTTGATTCTTTCTGGTGTTGTTCGTCGCGATACCATTCTATTTTCATCTCTCTCACGGCCGATGCCAACTACGGAATCCACTTGACATCATCGTTCATAATGAATTTCCGGACCTTTCTTTCTGTCTTTCTCTTTTATATATATATATATATATATATATAAAATATATATATATGTGTTTTTCTCTTTTTCTTTTTCCCCTCCTTTTGTTTCCATCTTCAATGTATTTTTCTTGTTCATTGATAATGCTCGAAAACTTTTAGAAAAGAAAAGCTCAAAACTTTACAGTCTATCTTTATATATATATTTGAATGCTGACTTTGTTTGTTATGTAATACTCCAGATTTTTAATGTTCTTTTTTATAAATGAAAGTTATAATTATTATAACGTCACATTACAGTGGAATATAAATCATTATATTAATTATATTTGTACTTTTTGGTTTCCAGTACTACAAAGAAATTCGATCAGCATGAGTAAAAAGTAATATTTGATCTATTATTGTTTGTGCAATGGAATTAGCATTACTGACACAAAGTCAGCATTAAAAAATATAACTATTAGAAAAATCGTAAAAATTAATTCCATAGAATTGAATTTTAAATCATCTTAGCCGTTTATCGGTGATCTCAATAACCATAATTTAGATCTGATAAATATTGTATAAATTAAAAAATACACAAAAATTAAAGTAAATGTTTAAAATTCGACGATATTACTGGTATGCCCTTAGATAAAAGATTATCTAAAAGAAAATTACAAAAGAAAATATGGTAGATAATCTTTTAATATATTTTCATGACTACAGTAGTCGCGTCCAATTTCAGGCGGGAAAGATTCAAACATAAACTGTATAGATACCGTGTAATTTACGTTGATAATAAATTAAATACATAAGATATTAAAGAGATTAAAATAAAAAGAGTTAGTTTAAGAAAAAATTTGATGAGAACAACATTAATTAGAATTAATGAAGGGTGACTAGAGTTCTACAAAAGCATTTTAAACAAAATTATCTTGATAAATTAGCATAGGGATGTTGTTTTGGTCGGTTCCCAGGTAAAACGAATATATTATTTAATATCAAATATATTTTTTCTTTATCAGTCAACGTATTAGTAATAAAAAAAATAAGAAAATAGTTTTATTGCTTTATAAATAAAACTTAACTTGAAATTCGTTTCTTTTTAAATCTCCTACGAAAATATCCCCTACGTGGATCACGACTAGTTGGCTGAGTATCATTTCCACCTGCGTACGGAACATTTGGTTGATTTAATTGTAATAAATTCACAGGTATTGATATGCATCCTACTAAACAATTTACGGATTGCATTATTGTCAGTGGCAATGGAGAGATTATGTAAATTTCTTCTTTTTCCGTGTCAACCCCACGAATTATTCCTACAAAACCAAATAAAATCAAGGAAGTAGAATTAGTTTGTTGAGTAAATTAATTATAACAAATTTCCATCTGAATAAATAAGAAAATATGAGGAAGCAATGTTATTTAATTGTTTTTTACCATAGCCATAGCAACTGCACAAAGGTGCTCTAGTTAATATACGAGGCTTCGATGGAACAGCTTCTTGCAATAGATCACCTGTCAAATCAATGCCACACAGAGCAACTATATTACCATTGATTACATTTAATACATGTGAAGACGGTACATGTTCTTTAAGTAAAGCAATATTTAAAGAAACAAAAGGTGCACTGAAAAGAAATAAATATATATAAGTAATTTCAGTGTTCAAACAAAATTATTAGGATGAATCTTTATACTAACACATATGGTATAGCTTCATTAATATTGAGTGACGTAGATCTAGAATGAAACCAAAAACAAATTTTTATTTATTAATTTAATATTATATGCAAGCAAGGAAATAAAATAATTTTAAATATCTTACATGGAATTTTCATTGGAATTAATAATTCCACTTAGATATGAAATCATAGCAAGTTCACGTTGTTGATAAGGTTCAATGCTCCACGAATCGCACTTTGATTTACGTTTCATTTCAGCATTTGTATTTATAACGTGTAATTCATGAGAACATGGTTTATTTAGATCTGCAATATTTTTACTCCATGAAAAGCCTGCAAGAGTCTAAGAAAATATTATTTTTCTATTATTCTATGTGATTTAAAAATGATTTATTATAAAAATAATAACACTTACTTGTCTATTTATGATATCGTTACTCAATAAATTAGCGTAATTGTTCTTTGTCCTTTCAGACATTATTTGTACAACGAAAGAAGGCCGGAAAAGTTTTATCGTAAAAACTACAATATCCCATCCTATACCATAGGTAAAACCCATTGTATTTATAACAATTGGTAAATGTGACATGACTGGACAACTTAACAACTTATTTGCTAACAATTTAAGGCCTTCAGTGTATCTCTTTATACACCTAGAAACATCTACACCTCCTATGTACAATTGATTTGTCGGTTGCTTTAGATGTGTAAAATTAGGCCCAGCTAACGGTTCATCGATCAAAGTATATGATATACTTTCCGGGGGTGTACATTCATTTTGACCAGGATCAACATCCACCAAAACAACCATCTTAGAAGTTTGTAATATGGTGTTTATTAAATAACGTGCTGTCGTTGATTTGCCAACATTTTTACCACCGGCTAAAAGCGTACAAGACCAAACCTTGGAATGCCAACGATTTAAGATTTGTTCAGCAAGTGTTCCTGTTATGATTGGGTTGATTACCAGTTTCTTATAATCATCATTACCAAAATAAAGATTAGACTGTACTATCATTTCTGCTCTTCTTATATCAGTCCAAGAATAATTGTTGACATTTCTAACTTTGGGAAATAATTTTTTGGGAAAGTATGAGTTTACAAATTCCGTTAAATTGTTCTCCAAATTCATTAATATCACTATAGACATACCCGGTTTGCATTGATCGATATCTGTTTTTAATACATTTTGAATATCAGGAGTAATACCTTCCTGGGACAAATACGTCCATATATCTTTATTGTGTGAAAGCAAAAATTTTTGACTCGTTTGTACTGGTATAAGACTATATCCTCTAGGAGAATATACAGATATCGGAGAATTAGCACTGGTAATATGAGATCCATAAACTTCTATTGCACCATACAATACACTTATAGATAATTTGCCATTAAAACAGAAACTACTCTTTTCTTCCATAATTAACAATACTTTACTATCCAAACAATATAAACGTATCTTTTCATTGCAACTAGATTTCGTTACATTAACATCATCCATATTTATATGAAACGATATTAAAAATTTGTCAAAAAAAAAAAAAACAAGATTAATCTGCACACGCTGAGTTTATTGTAACACTTATCACCATATTGTTTTTCTAGTGTTATTCGTATAAACATAACCAAAACAGTTGCAGCGCCACCATTATCTTCTTTTGAATAATGTAGAAAGATGATACTATCTTACTACGAACAATCTCAAAATGTGAAATTAAATTTAATATAATATAAAAACAAATTAAATCCATTCAAAATCACATTTTTGAAATGTCGATAATTAAGTTTTGAATTTAATTCTATAAAAAATTATATAAAACGATTACATATTTCGGTCTTCTGTTCGTTCAACGTGCCTTCATGAATTTTTAAGAGCGCCAAAAAATAATGCAATGTGCAGAAGTATCATTTCCATTCTTATTTATAAATTCTTAAATATTATTATGTATTATTAAATCATGATATTTCAAAATACGTGGAGCATAATTTCAGAAGTAAATCAAAATAAGATTTCTCGTAACCCGTATGAAATATATTAAATAATAAAAAATTGAAACAATCTTTTTTTAGATAAATCATGTAGTAAAAACTGTCACATATATACATATATATATATATATATATATTTCTTATCAATCGTTAAACCTATTTTCTATATAATTAAATTAAACAAAAATAAAAGATAATGATAAAAGAAAAAAAAAAAATTTAATTTACCGAGTGTCCCTTTGTATACTGTTGTTGTTTCATTTTATGAAAGTTAAATAGTTAAAAAAAATGCTTTAATTTTTCTTAAAAAAGAAAACTCAATCTGAAGTTCGTCTATCCTTATGTCTCATACGAATATATCCTCTACGTGGATCACGACTCGTTGGCAAAGTATTATTTCCACCTGCGTATGGTACATCTGGTTGATTTAACTGTAATAAATTTACAGGCGTAGGCATACTTCCTATTAAACAATTAACGTGTTGCATAAGTGCTAGCGGCAATGGAGAGATTATGTAAATTTCTTCTTTTTCCGTGTCAATCCCACGAATTATTCCTACAAAACCAAATAAAATCAAGGAAGTAGAATTAGTTTGTTGAGTAAATTAATTATAACAAATTTTCATCTGAATAGATAAGAAAATATGAGGAAGCAATGTTATTTAATTGTTTTTTACCATAGCCATAGCAACTGCACAAAGGTGCTCTAGTTAATATACGAGGCTTCGA